GTCAAATTGGCTTTGTTGGTCAAGTAATTATTAATCTGATCTTGAACACACACGTGCTTACTGTATTAGTTGACATGTAATCAGGATCATACAAATCTAGCACATAGGTATGTATTGCAAAGTGTTTTTTCTACGTTGAATTGCACCTGGACCCAGTTTATGAAATGCACAAATTCTGGTGGAACAGTTGGCTTCATGGTTCCAATTATCAATGGAGTTGACCCCCATGGATTTGAAGGTTACCTTGCTGCCTAACTTCTATTTTAGTTGCAATCTCTCAACAAATATGGTGCCTTTTTTCTCTGTAGGTAATGGAGTCACATCAAGCTAGCAAGTTGGACACTTCTGGAACGGCCAAGGCTGTTATCTCATGCTTTCAGAAGCTAGGCGTCTCCTTTGAATTAGATCAGGTATTTCTTAGCACTTTATTGCATAAACTTGATAGATGCGTTATGGAATTATTTTTTCTTTCCTAAATTTTTAAGAACAAGTAGATCATTACAGATATCGTCAGCAGTTTTAGCAGTATTAACGTGAGTAGAATCGGTTGCACAACATACCCCTCTTGAGAAGTTAAAAATTATTCTTGTTTCTTGCATGCTATGGTTCCTTTAGTTGATCTTGGGCTTGTATGTCCTAATGCTGCAATAAAGATATTTGTTCATGCCCTTTATCTGAAAACATCAGATAAGCCTAGTTTTACAACTAAAATACTAATCCTACTGCAAGGTGCAATGGTTAAAAGCTAGGATAACAGTTTTGAATATTGAACCGCACTTCTATTCGATCGTAAACCTTATTGACCGCATTTGAAGCCTTTGATAGCTAAAAAACTTCCTTCTGTATGTAATTGTGTAGAAGTGCACTCTGTTGTTGCCTCATGTAGGTTGCTTTTACATGATGATACTGCTCTTGATATCAAGACTTTTTGTCGTTTTGCTACTTATGTAAATGGAAGAGGAAGAGTCGAATTATACATACAATTTTGCTTTGACATAAAATGTGACAGCCCCACCTCCTCCTAAGGCGAACCAAAGGGCTCGGCGGACCGCCTACCCAGCTCTCGCCGGGACTCACTCACACACTACAGTCCTCAAATAAATTATAATATAAATCTCAAATATACATCAAATGTTCCATAAATTTACATATCATAAGTGAAGCGACTACTTCTCAATTGCACTACAAACTAAAACCTCAAAGATAAAACAATACGAATTTCCCGAATAAGACAAAGGTCCTCAACTCTCACATCATTACAATACAATCTCAATCTCAAATATAACACCAGAAAAATCTAGAACTCCAACGGTACAGGAGATCATCCGACCATTCACACGAAGAACTTTAATACAAATGTTTCCTTCGCTTCGAGCCCTGTGGAGGGGAATAAAATAGTTTTTGGGGTGAGCTAGAAACTCAGCGAGTAACCAGTAAAATCAGTAATCAAATAAGTTTTACAATAGTTCATTTCAATGATGTCATGCATCAGTAATCAAATGTACATTTATTGCTCTCGTGAGCCAGTGAAATCATTGTACTTAAACATCCAACGCTCAAATAGATCCAGTAACAGTGAAACAGTGATAGGGAGCCCTTTGGTGCTCCAGATAACAGTAAACAGTGGTAGAGACGTTGGTTCTAAACACAAGACTTCCCAAGAACTCATTGTAGCCAAATCATGTCATGAACTCACATGTAGGCACACATGATATGCAATCGAGTAAATAATGCTAGAAACAGTTCATAAGTAGCTTTGGAAACAGTTTGGGGTCACTCACCAACCACGACTCATGATCCAACATAAGCAGTTTCTCGATCAAGTCCAAGCCCTTCAACTCAAACTCAAAGCAACCAAACACTCTCAAAGATCGAACAGCATTTCCCCTTAATTTCTTTATTTTTCCAACCTACAAACAATCACCAATACCATTTCAATCAACCACAATTACACGTACAAATCATAGGGTACTAAACACTCTTAATAAGGGTCATAATACCCCCTTCAATCTTAACCAATTAAGAACTCATAATCAATCATAAGAAAGCCCCAAATTAAACCTTAAAATCGGAATTTCCGCACAAACCAGAAATTTTTCGCAAACAATCATATCCAACGTATACAAGCTCTATTTTACACCACAACAAGCTATCATTCCATGACCAACATACCATAATCATATAAAATCAGAAATTTCCCCAATAAATCAGAAATTGGTCCAACTCTACTTAAAATCATGAAATCATCCACAAAATAGCATCTTTAACCTTTACAAGCCACTAATTAACCATTATTAAAGCAAGAGGGAATTTTCTTATCCAACTTACCTCAAAACTCAAGAAAGCTTGCAACTTAGAGCTTTCCTTCTAAAAATCACTCCGTCAAAGGCTTTAAACTTCCTTAGTACACACTTGTATGGAGTAGTTTCCAAAACCATCGGTGAAATCTCAAGATTGGAGCAAAGATTGAAACTAAGAAAATATGAACTTTCTCTCTTCTCTCTACGTTGCACGGCTGAGCAAGGTGAAGAAATAAAGATATTTTGGGCCAAAAGCTAGATAAAAAGGAAGGAAACAGGCAGTTAAAGTTGATGGCCGCCTGTGACACGTCATAATCTGGCCGGAATATGGCTGGATTTTCGGCCGGATACAGGGTAGTGGCAAAAGTCAATTTTTTTTTCAAAACTCCAAGGCAATCCGGCCAGGTATCCGGCCAAGAACTGGCCGGATTTCCGGCCGGATTAGCCAAAACAAAGCTAACCAGACTTTTTTTTTTCTTTTTCTTCTTCCGGGCGTCACATAAAACTATTCCTAGATTACTTGCTTTATGTGCATATAGCCATTGGGCATGTATAATTTCTGCCTTTTCAATGACTTTTTTGGATTCTTTTCTTCAATATCTTTGTCAGATACAACAAATACGAGATCCCAAGTTGCAAATGGAGATGGTAGGTGTTCCAGAAGAGTATTTAGCTGGACATGCATTCCATATGTACCATCTAACATCACCAGATGACACGTAATGAGCTGATCCTGTATTTTTTCTTTCACTATATGTATCTTCAAACTAAGAATAAACCAACTGGCCTTCTTGCAGTGTTTCGTTTGAGTTTCAGCATAATGTTTGTGGAAGATCAATTTATGCAGAAGGTACCGTTGATGCTGTTCTTTTTCTTGCAAAAAAGGTATTGAAGCTTTCCCTCTTCAGCTTGATTTACTTCCTGCAAATAATTAGCTTTTAGGTTATTGTAACTTCTGATTAATTAAGAGGCACGCACAGATATTGCTTATTGAACTTCTGAAACACTGGAGTTCATTAAGACATGGCTAGTATTTCAATTACTATTCAAGCAGTTCCACATGCTTTCCCATAATGACAACTTTTAACTCTTAGCACACTAAATTTGGAAATGTTGCTTGAATGCAGGTGCAGTCAAAAGCAGACAAGCGAATCTATGACATGATTGATGTCTTGCGGGAGGGTAACATGAGGTGAGACCTGCATTAGACTTCTTCTAGTTGTAATTCAGGGAACTTTAGCATTAGTTTCTAGTAATTAGCTTTAAAAGGCTTCAGTCTGGCAATTTTCTATTACTTGCCAGCCGTTTGTGCAATTGTTAGTAACGTGTGATGCTGAAAATGTTTTGTAGCACCTGACAATGTCTGGTTTCCTCAAGAAATGCAAAGAGAGTTTAATGACTTATAACATTACTATCATCTTTTTTCATTGTTGTTCTTTTAAATTGAGATCCAATGCTAGAGTTGGCAGGGAAAAAAAAAACTGGAGTTATGATAACAAAAGGCATCTTTCCTCTACTGGAGGTGCCAATAACAGCCCAATGCCCCCAAATCCAAGATGGAAGACTCAAGATCTCATGAAATGAATGTTAATCAAGCCTTCTCAAAAACTGTATGGACACACAAATACATTTCAAAAATTTCAAAAAAAAAAAAAAACAGGTTATAATGAATGTGTGGTTAGAATGGATGAAATGGGGACAATGCGAATGACTATGGCAGAAAAACTGTACATGTTGCAGTGGTGGTCTTTCTTGAGAACTTCGCTTATGGATTGATAAATTCAAAACCTTATAGAGACAAAATTACATTTCAAAAATCTCGAAAAAAAAAAAAAAGAACGCATGATCCAATAACTATCTTCTTTTTCATTCTTTATAAGTTTAGGAGGGGAGGAAACTCATTCCATCCTGAGGTCATGTCATTTCACCGATGGAATAGGCGGCTTATGGTTATTCTTATAGATTGTTAATCAACTGCACTTTAGTGGGTAACATTTCCAATAATGATGGAATAATTATTTGGAATAATTGGATAGTAAGTGTTTGGATAGCATTGTTATCTCAAATAATATTTCGCTTGTATCATAAACACATTTCCCAACTCACCTTTTTATATTCCCAACCACCTTTTTATCTCACATACATCACATCACAAAAAGTGCTACAGTAATTATTCCAAATAATATTTCAAATAATACCCTATCCAAAAATATCATTTTGCTTGTATCATAAATATGTTTTTTAATTAATTCTTTTATTTTTTAAATCACTTTTTTAATTTGAAATACAAACATCACATCACGAACAATAATATATTAATTATTTCAAACAATATTTCAAATAAACTCCTACCCAAATACACTCGTAGTATTTTCCGTGATGTGATAAATGAGAAATGAAAATGTGATTGTGAAGATTTTTTTTTTTAAAAAAAAAGTGTTTAGTTATTGTGATTATAATTCAAGCAAAATAATATCGGTAAATAATGGCTACCCAACCACATAAATGCTTGCTCTCCCAACAATTATTAAGCACATAATAGGCACTTTTAGTTTTTTTTTTTCTTTAAAAAAGGTTTCTGATAAGCCATTGGTCCATAGTAATCCCAAATAGGGTTTAATTTCACTTTTTAAAAAGTTTTTTTTTTATTTTAAGAAAAACCCCTACAATAGCTCAAATTTAATTGTTTATAATAAGTCTATAAACCTGATTCTGTTCATACCGTTTGCCCAGTCCCGCCAATTCAAGCACCTAACGAACTTTTGCCTTCTCCCTCCTTATGTCTCTACACCCATTTTATGTCTCGCTCTCTTTTCAATCGCACCTTCTGCACATTTCCATGGAACCCAAGAACCCATATTTTTCAGTGCAACAAAAGAATCCACGAGCTGCTGAAATTTGGCCAAGTCGATCATGCCCGCAAGGTGTTTGATTCAATGCCGCAAAGAGACTCTGTCACATGGAACTCCATGATCTCTGGTTACTCGAAAAGCAACCGCATCAAGGATGCCGAAGTTCTTTTTAACGTTTGTCAAGATAAGAATGTGACAACCTGGACTGCAATGCTATCTGGCTATGCCAAAAATGGACGAATTTGGGAGGCTATTAGACTTTTTGAGGCCATGCCCGAGAGGAATATTGTTTCGTATAATGCGATGATTAGTGGGTATTGGGGAATTGGTGATTTTGTTAATGCGAGGAGGTTGTTTGATGTAATGTCTGAAAAGAATGTGTCAACTTGGAATTCGATGATCACAGGGTATTGCAGGTGTGGGAGAGTATACGAGGCTCATGCTTTGTTTGATGAAATGCCGGAGAGGAATTCAGTTTCATGGGTGGTGATGATTTCTGGGTATGTGGAGATAGGTCAGTTTGAGGAAGCTTGGGCTTTATTTTTGGAGATTCATAGATGGAGAGAGGTAAAGCTAGACCAGGCTGTAATTGTGGTTACTTTGTCCACTGCAACAGGATTGGATGATGTGGAGTTGGTTAAGAGCTTGATGGCATTGGTGATGAAGATCGGATACGACAAAGATGTGGTGGTGGGGACTGCGACTTTGAATGGTTTGACAAGGAATGGGAGTTTGGACTCTGCTATCAAATTTTTTGAGGGAATGCAAGAGAGGAATGACTATGCCTACACTACGATGATCACAGCCTTTTCAGAATGTGGAAGGTTGGAAGATGCCATTGCACTGTATAGACAAGTTCCTGATGTAACTGTTGATATAAGAACGGCAATGATGAGTAGCTATGCTCAAAATGGGATGTTAAATGAAGCGAGAATTTTATTTGATGAGATTAGGAACCCAAATGTTGTTACGTGGAATGCGATGCTCACGGGATATGCGCAAAATGGGATGGTTGAGGAGGCCAAAAACCTGTTTGCAAGGATGCCTGTGAGAAATATAGTTTCTTGGGGGGCGATGATCTCTGGGCTCGTGCAGAGTGGACAGAATAGAGAAGCTTTGGAGGTATTAGTTCAGCTACATAGGTCAGGCACTGCACCTAGTTGTTCTAGTTTCACTAGTGCTCTCCTGGCATGTAGTAACTGTGGAGATTATGAAGTTGGTAGGCAGATACATTCTCTTGTTTTTAAATTAGGTTATCAATACAATACCTACATAGGAAATGGGTTGATTTCCATGTATGCTAAATCCAAGAATATGGAAGTCAGTTCTCTGGCTTTTAGTTCTATGAGTGAGAGAGATATAGTCTCTTGGAATTCTCTCATAATTGGTTTCTCTGAGAATGACATGCTGGATTGTGCTTTAAAGACATTCCTGAAGATGCCAAAACATAACATGGTATCCTGGAATTCTATGTTAGCAGCTTATGTGCAAGCTGGGGAAGGAGAATTTGTTTGTCAACTATTCCTCGACATGTTAGGCCAGGATGTAAAACCAAGTGAGCTAACTTTTCCATACCTCCTTAGTGTTAGCGGGAGCCTATGTGCAGTCAAGCTCGGAAAACAGATCCATGCCCTTATTTTTAAACTTGGATGGGCTTCCCATCTCTTTGTTGGTAATGCTTTGATCAATATGTACTTTAAGTTTGGCTCTAAGGATGGTTTTTTGGCTTTTGAAAGTATGCAAGAGCGAGATCTGGTCACATGGAATACTGTTTTGACTGGCTGTGGTGAGAATGGATTTGTTGAAGATGCTATCCAAATTTTCCAGAAAATGGAAGGTGAAGGATTTGTTCCTGATCAGGTTAGTTTTCTGGGGCTTCTTTGTGCTTGTGGCCGTGCAGGGTTAGTAGCTGAAGGGTTGGCCTACTTTAGTTCCATGATTCAGTATTACCTGATTGCACCCACAATCTATCACTACACTGCTCTGGTGGATCTTCTCGGCAGAGCTGGGCGACTCTCTGAGGCTGAGTCCATTATTGACAAGATGCCTTTGGAGCCAGATGCCGTGATTTTGGAAGTTCTTCTAGCTGCATGTAGAATCCACAATAACATCAAACTTGGCCAGAAAATTGCAGGAAGACTTCTTCAGATTGGTATGTGAAGATTTTGGTCTTAGATTTTGCTTTCACGCATATATGCTTCTCAATGCTTCTGGTTAGGATGTAGTCTCTTTTTGTATTCATTGATTTTTCTGTCTACTAGTGCAGTAATTATGTTGTGCTATAATTAACTATACATATACTGCTCTGTGTTGTCTGGATTTGACAACTAAGAAATTGAGTAGTTCAATGTCAGTCTGCATTCTTTTTTAACAATATTTCACTATGTTGTATGTCTGTCTAATGTATTTTGCTTGACATTCTGTTCGTGTGACATTAAAAAAAAAAATTGTTTTAAGTTGTCAGTTTGCCTTTTATTGTGCTAAAATTACATTTCGGTCCCATCTTGTTTGTGGTGAGTAATATACCTACTATGCGTATGATTTTTACTAGAAAAGACTTGATTTGTTTTGTATTTCTTTTTCCAAGTGAAAAGACTGAAGGTGAATATGCAGTTTGAGTACAATCAGGATTGATAGCTTCCTGGTCGTCAGATCTGATTTATGCAAAATATTCTGAAATTTTTTAGGGGAATTGAAATAATAGCATTTCGTCTGTATTATTTGTTGGTATGCCAGGTTGATTTGTGATCAATGGAGAGGAGTACACTATCCATTCTCTGTAAATTCCCTGAAAAGAATTGCTAGAGTTTGTCTTTAGACGGCTTAGTACAGGCTTTAGTTGATTCATGAATCTGAGGCTTTGTCTCGGATGTTGACAGTGATGGTTTTCCTGTTTTCAGGTGGAAAGGTGTCAACCGCTTGTACAAGCTCTTGTGTTGGTTAAGAAATGGGCAAAGCGTCATGATAAGGTACAACTGATATACTTGATACTAAAAGAGGGAAAGTCTTGTAAGTGTGGATCCTGGTTTAAATTAAAATATAACCTAACTGATCTTTGATGATTATTCAGGAAAAACTGTCAGAGCAGAAGAAATTGGTTTACAGCGTGGTATAACTGGACCAGAAAAGGTGCTAGAGGTTATAGTAACTGGCATTGATTATGCCAGAAAGGCAGAAACTGTAAGAATATGTGCCCATACATGTCAATGTTGGTTGCACCTGTTATTCTTGGTCTTTACCAGAATTAGACAGTGATGTCCAGGAAATTGTTGGGAATAACTTTTGTATACAAAAATCAAGAAGCTTAGCATGTTTTAGTAGAAATGGCAAAGGGAAATTTTTGTCCTTTATCTAGTTGAATGATCTTAACTTTTGTAGTTTGGCCACATACAAAACTTCTTATCCTTTAGATCTGATTGCTTGGATACTAGACCTTGAGGTCCAGGAACTTGTTAGGAATAGCTTGCATATACAAAAATCAAGAAACTTTAAGCAGCATGTTTTGCCACAAATGTTATATGGAAATTTTTATCCTATCTTCTGTATAGTTATCTTTACTTCTGGAGTTGAGCCACTTTGTTAGTCCCTCATTCAGTATATATTTGCTCTCTTTTATCACTTATTGCTAAGACTAATTCTTATGACATTTGGATTTGCTCAAGTTACTTGCAGTTCTCTTGACTAGTGAATTAATATGTCTTCAGCGTCAATCATGCCATTTATCTTGCTTGTAATTGCTATATGATTCTCATGACCAGGTCCCTTTTTGGAACTCCAACTTTTCGGTAGACTTTTCATATGTTGCTGCATCAGAGGATAGAAATGCACTGGAAAGCTCTTTCATTTCAGCATTTGAAGGTACTTGTGCCAGTGGTTTAGGTATGAATAATATTGCTGTACTGCTTTAGAGGGTGAAAGGTTTGAAAATCTCATAAATTTTTTTCTGCTTTTTGGTTGCAAGGAAAATTGGCGATTATGTATCATTTTTTGGGGTGTTAATGTTTTCTGTGGAAATTATATAATTTATTTCTTCCTGTGACATAAGCATATTTGATTGTGTCCTGCAGGGTGCATCCAGACTGAATTCTAATGTGATTTGCCTCTTTCTGAGGGTATAAATATAAAAATGCATGTGGCTTATGTATCTTTTATCAACAAAACTATTGTTTAGCTTTAAAAGCTGATGTTGAAGAATTGGAACTCTTGTGCAGCTCAATTTTATCTCTGTTCTTCAGCTTTGTGGAGTATTTGGAAGTATACCGTTCTACATGTATCTGCTCTAAATGGCTATATCCAGTATCTTCTCACAAGGATCTGAGAAGATTTCTAGCTAAGGGAATGGATCAACCAATTGAAGAAGATCTTATGGAGTTTCTCCAATTAAGTCCTCAATTTTGGAGGATTTCTTACTGGGAAGTCAGCCAGGTAGAAGCCATAGCCTGGCAGTTGATGCACACAGTCTACAGATTTTATTTCCTGATAGTTCAGGATTTGCCAGTTTCTGAAATCATGCATTGGGATGTATTAGGTAATTGCCTGATAGCTCAGGATTTGCCAGTTTCTGAATCATACATTGGGATATATTGGGTATTTTTATAACTTTACACAACGACTAACAAACTCAGTAGGACTCTTATGCGTTTGCTTTCTTTTCAGGCTATGGTTTTGCTCACAGACTTAGTATGGGGCTACTGCTGCATGGCGAGAAGTGATGCTCCGACAAGATTTGAAGCTCCTCGAGATTCTCAATTAGGAGGAGTTTTGCAGTACAAGTTTTGGTGACATCAGTAATTGGCAAGATCAATGGACTTGTTCTTGTAATTTTTGTTTATGGATGGCAACAATTAGGGTAAAACCCAATACCCATTGATACACGACCTGATGATTAGTTCGATTGTACGAGCAATGGGTTATCCATTAGAGTTTGGTATTGGGGAGGGGGGGCTACTTGTACCATTTAGTTGTTGTTTCAAGTTGATCATTTGGCCACGATCTTTGAAGTGATTTTTTTCTAAGTTGCATATCGTATGATTGTAAATCATGGCTCTAACCTATGGTTTTATTATAATGGAATGTTTTTATCTTAATGTACTAATTTTGTTAGTTTCCAAATTTTTAAACCATGTAGATGCATGTATTTTGGTTTCATGAATCGGTTGGGTTCTCCGATAGGTTTGATAAGAGACTGTTCTGAACGAGTGAGGAGTGGGTAAGAGAGATTTTAGAGGATAACCTATCCCCTGCAATCCCTATATTTGTTTACTTCGGCAGAGAGTTATTTTTGTTTGCTTTGATGGAGAGTGATAGGACAACAATTAGCATCACAGATACAATGAATTTGAAAATCACAAAATCAACGGAAATCCAAATTATTACTCCTAATCTTAAGAAACTGCATTAGCTTGTGAAATTACCTTAGTCTACGGCTAATGGTAGGTTTAAATTGGGAGATTAATGGTTTAATCACATTAAAAGACAACCTAGGGATGATGATATTATAGTTTAATTAATGAGTAAATCTTATATATACGGATAGTATATACATTATCATAATTAAATGCACAACATATATGCAAATTTTGGATTTTAAATTCAAATTCGGATTACGTGTCATGTATCTAATAGTGAAAATGTATACAATGTTAGTGTGTAGAAGATTAATCCTTAATTATATTATAATACAATCTATGGTTTATGGAAGGTTGCAGCTCCCAGCCTCATTCATAATCTTGCTATTTTCCTTTCCCAAATCAGAACACATTGTCCTGCTAAGGAGCAAGAAAATAGCAAGTTTAAGAGTTACAAATGTTTATATTGTATTCTAATACTATTTGATTAATCTTCCAATCTAATTCCGTCCATATTCTTGGATTTTAGGTAATTTTACCCCTATAAAATAAACAAACATGCAGTAGGATCTGAGATACTAGAATGTAATAATTTGAATTTAAGTTATGTCTATGATTCATTTATGATGCTACTACCCATCTAATCCTATCCTAATTCTTATATTTTAGGTAATTATAAAGTCACTCATGTGCTAGCTAAGAATGCAAAATTCATATGTGATCATGTCTTTTTGCGGAGAGATCCTCCGGATTTTGTTGTGCCATTTCTAATGCCAGATTTGTTAGAAAATTAAAAAAATTTGAAGGCTTTTGAAATCCTCCGGATTTTGTTGTGCCATTTCAATATTTTTATCCAAAAAAATGCACGTTTATGACTTTTGAAATCATAATTTGATTTTCAATTGTTATGACATTCAAAATGATAACATTCATGGTGACTATTATCCTTTTGAAAATTCCGGACACAAACAAATATGAAGAACAAATAATAAAAATTAAGATAAAACAATTGTAACTCCAAGACCATCTGTAGTATCCGTTATTCTCAGATCTGTTCTTTAATATCTGTATATAGTTGATGATGTAACTTCCGCCATTTGTTCAGATTTTAATGAAATTATGATATTTTGTCAAAAAAAATCTAGACACAACAATAAACATAAGTTTAAGATTTCAAGTGCTACTACTTTAGTAGTAATTTATTAATGTGTGTGTATACACATATACCATTATGGAAATTTTCTTTGTTGAACTTTCCTTAATTAAAAAAAATATATCAACTATAAATAATGTTTGCCCTTTGAAGACTACATCAATCAGATTTTCAACTCAAATGGGACCCTAAAAGGAAAAATTATTCTTCGAGCATGGCCAGTCCACTCCCAACCTAAACAAACTTCTATTGCGCTAAGGAGCTTTTGGTCATTCAAATAACCTTATCACATCAAAATATAAGGGCATCCACAATGGAGTGTAATAGAAGGTGTAAATAATACCCTTTATTATACCCAACAATTATACCCTCTCCCATAGTGGGAATGTAATAGCCATGATGCATATCATAGTTAGGGGTGTGCAAAATTAAAAAATTCCGATTTATTGACCGAATTCGAATTGAATTCAGAATTTTCGAAATCGGTAATTCAAAATCCGGCACTGACACCGGAATTGTCGATTTCGAATTATGAGAATTTGGTTCAAATTCGGTAATGGAGTTTTTGAAATCGAAATTTCCGATTTCAATTTCGTTTTATAATATATATATTAATATTTTTTTATTTATATTTATAATAATATTTTTTTATTTCAATTTCATTTTATAATATGTATATTAATATATATTTATGTATATAATAATATATTTATATATAATAATATTTTAATAATATTTTTATATATAATAATATTTTTTATAATATATGTAATATAAAATTTATATTATATAACAATACATCTAACAAAAAAGAAAAAAAGGGAAAAAAGGTTTCGAATTCGGTGAATTCAAAATTTACCGAATTCCGAATTGGATTCGGAATCGAAATTGAAATCTGAACTGGTGAATTCGAAATCGAAATTGGTCGATAATTCCTATACCAAAATTTCAAAAAATTTCGAATTCAAACTTCCAAATTTTCCGAATTCGAATTCGATGCACACCCCTAATCATAGCCATTACAAGCAGAATAGATATGCAAGAAGACAAAAAAAAAAAAATTATGGGTCCCATTTGGTAAGTGTTGGGTATTTGTTTAATAATTACGTAATTATATTTTAGCAAGTAACAATGTATTATTTTTGAGAGCCACAAAAATATATATCATTTTTCAAAAATTAATAATATTATTTTTTAAAAAAATTTAAAAAATTAGGAAGTAAATTTTTTTTGAAAGTTAATAAATTATTTTCCAAAAATAATGAAATGATTGTTTAGAAAATAAATTTATTTCTTTATGGGATATGGATTGTGGATTATTAAAATAAATATGTGATTTGATTGAAAATCTATACTATTATACTCTATAAACTATAACTTATGGTGAGAAATAGTGTATTGAAAGAGGGGACAATAAACTAATGATGTGCCATATAATTTATACTTAATAGAGTGTAATCCATTACGGATGCCCTAACTAGTAGTGGAGCTAGGATCCTTTAGCGGGGATAAGGACATCCTCGAGGATGTTTACTTTACACTTGCCTCACTATATCAACAATAATAAGCTCAACCTATTTGCATAATATTTTTATGTGTAATGCATAAATCATATTATTTCATGTGAAATTAATATTACAAATTTAACTCCAAAAAAAGAACTTAAAAACTATAATAAAAGAGAAGAAAAGTTTATGTTTGAAAAATTATTTATGACAGGCTCAACAATTTTTTTGATGAGGTGGATTACAATTATGTCATTCAAAAAATTAAAAAGGTGTAAATCTTGATAGTTGGAAATACTAAGTAAAAATACCAGTCCGCATGGGCATGACATTCACTAAGAAATATAATGAATTGTGACCACCTTAGGCAATGTGAAATGTGAACATCTAACATACTTCATTGATGTTAAATATTTCTCCCTTTTCCGTTTGCTAATTTGAGCCCTTTTTAAAAAGAAATTAATGTTGTTAGTTCAATATTTTGCGGGCCGAAATATTTCCAAACATTGAGATTTAGATATTTAGATCTCTCTGCAACTTTTTCACAATCTATCTAGCTTTTTGCAACTTACCATAAACAAATTTTCAAGAACAACTTTTTTATTATTCTATTAATTATTTTGCATTTTCAAGCTTTTTTTTTTTTGATAGAAGGGATAATTTCATTCAGTAAATTTGTACTAATGATAGAAAATATATCAAATCAAATATGATACAAATACGTATAGATCTGAAAATCTATAGATGCAACAAAATACAAATAAAGATAACATTGATGTTCTAACGTTTCTTCTATCCATATGAATCATTATAACCTGTTAGATCCATCCATAACTTCTAATAGTTAGATCCGATCAAAAACTGATTCTAAGTCCAAAAAGAAATTTAAATCTAACAATCGTAAATGGAGAAATTACAAATTCGAAATATCTACAAAATCTCACAGAAATATGACAACAACTAAAAAGACTCGCAAGAAAATTTTGAGAGAATAAAACTCCTAGTAGAACAATTTAGGAGAAAAGCAATACTCACTAGGAGATATTAAGAGAGAATAATCTCTCACTAAAAAATCCTATTAGAGAATTTATTTAAACAAGGAAAGCTAAAAACTAGAAGGGGCTCCTTCCCATAGGAAAAGATTAGGACATTATCATTTATTTTATTTCACCATTATTATTGTTATTATTAGGAAAGATTTGGTGTCGACAGGGGTGGCCTTTTAGGGGCAAAATTCCCAAAAGCCGACATTACTTGCTTCTTCTATCAGCCTCGGTTTCTCGCATATACAGGGACAGGGAAGGAAGCGTGGTGATAAATTGGCTGCCGTGTCTAGGGATGGGTAATCAACATGTGTTTCATTCTACTTTCAATCTTCCAAAGCTTCATTCTGTTATAAAATTAGATAATATGAACTTTGGTTGTGTTCGTTACTTTGATTTGATATAAGGGAGTAGTATTATTTATTTATTTTCAGTTGTTTTCACAATCCTTTCTAACTTTCTTTTATTTAAAAATTTGTAATATATGCGGCTAACATCTCCTCCTGTCTATGAAAAAAAGCGAGAAGGAAAAATTGAATCTAGAATTTCTAATTCTTAAAACTTCAATTTTAGCGAATAGACTAAAATCTCATCAGCAATAGAGATGGGTCAAGCTATATTTTGTTGGCAAAAGTTTAAAATTTTAAGCGAAATAGGAGGTGGGACTAGATCAAACTTTTATAATGGGTCACACCCTTTTTTTTGTATGCTTATTCTTTGTCCTAAGGGTACATCATAGAAAATTCATTTTTTTTTTTTGGATGGGCTTACTTTTTGTTACATCGAAATTGCTAATCGGGGAGCAGGGCTTAATATTCAAAACCTCTACCAAATGAAATTGTCAAAAACCTATTCCCTTTTTTTTTTTTAACTTTGCATATCCCTTAAGCTTAAAAATGCTTATATTTATGAATTAATTTTATATACATTGACAGTGTATACACTATCAGCGTCCGATGAATGATAACAATGCAAAATTTGAATTTAAATTCATTTTTTGCGCACATGTCATGAATCCAACGATGATAGTGTATACACTGTCAGTA